AGTGAGCTTTAGAGATGCTGGTTGGCCCCATTGAGGTACCTTTGGACAAATCCAGGTGATCTGTTTTCCCTGTTTACAGTCTTTGTGCTAAGATAGGCTAACCAGCTTGACCAGCTTTCCGCGCCGGCTCGGGTTCGCTTTGCTGTTTGTCGTCCCCCGAGCCCCTGCGTCCCCCTTTCTGGTCGGGTTTCTTTGCTTATCTCATCCAATAAAGGCAATAAAAAGACTCCCCCCAAACACACAAAAAAGAAAGCGCCTATTATATATTATTATAATATTATAAGTATAAGTACATTTCATAAGTATATTTCCAAAAATGTCGAATTAGGAGCGTCCTACTACAAACTCATGATGTGCAGCCAAACATTGTTCAAACTCTCAAAATTTTATTTCAAATTCTACTGGAGATCTCAAATCTTCCACAAATAACGTCATATGTTAATGATGATCTGGAACAAACTGATACACAATCAATATGTTGATGTCAGACAGTGTGGAGTATCATTGATCATAAGTGTGTACTGTACTTTAATTTCTCTCTTCATTGGTAAAGCCAACATTTCCTGATTAATATTTAGTAATTGTTGCTAACTCAGTCTGACGAATATAATAAACAAGTAGGCTATCTGACATTCTTTGACATAAAGCAAAACATCATCAGCTAATTGGAATTAATCAATCTTGGAAATCTAAACGTCATAAGATTACAAGTACGCCGCAAAGTAGTGAATACATTTATATGTCCAGGCAGCAACTCTCATAAACAGTGTGGGAGTTTGATGTTTTGACTTCTAACATCGTGAGTCGCTGCGGAAAAAGGAAACAGTGGAAATTCACCTTTAGTGTTTTTACACGCAGAGAGAAATTATTTATTCATGCATGCCTTCTTGTAGTCCCTTCATCATGATGAACCCGACTTAAATACATGGCAGGACATGAAAGTGGTTTTTGATCATTTTGAAAATATTTTTTCACAACCCCTCCTAACTACGACATGAAAGAGAAAGTCTGGGAAACATCAAATGCACACAAACTTCTGCTCATGAAATCTCAAACTTCTCAAGTTAAACCCAAAGGGAAGACAGTACATTATAGTCAGACACATATGGAATTATTTATACCAAGACACCTTATAAAAGGCAGAGTAAGAAGAATAGAATAACCAAACTGCCTCTGCAGTAATTTAGGAGCATAAACATTATGTTTATCTTCAATGGTGTATTTTTTTGTTTCCTGTGTTTCAAATATAGAAAACTATTTTTATAACCCTGAATGGAAAATGTAATTATTCTCCATGTCTTAATTTCCATGCCTTGTAAGAAGACCTAAAATAGCTCTACGTTTTCCATCAGATAATGCTGTGTGCAGAAAATATCTCCTCTAATCTCTCTTGCTCTTTTGCAATGCAGGAATCAGACAGGTGGTCTCATGTGTACTGCTCTGTATAGATATTACTTCTCCAAAAAAGTGAGTGAACAAGTTATTCAAAGTATTTTAAAGGGCTGAGTGCAGTGTGTTCTCCGTGCAGAGAAGGCCAATGTTACGGAAGACGGCAAAGATTTTCACATCAGGGCGTAAATATAATAAATTATAATATAATAAACATAAGTCTCCTAACACCTACTGACTCCTCTCCAACACCAACCAGGTGATATGTCCCTGAGCACATATAAAAACAATTCAGCCCTTTTTTTAAAATTCAAAAGAAACCACAAAATTTCTGTTTTGTATTTGTGCCACTTACCTTTACAGGAACCCGGCACCAGGAGCGCAAACAGCACAAACACACCTGTCCTCAGTGCGTCCATGTCTCTCCCACCTTGTCTCTCTTTCTGTCTGTATGTATGAAACAAGGTTTTCTTTATCTCTCTCCTGGTTGTTTTCTGGTTGCCTCGTTCTTGTTTCCCTCTCACTCTGATCAGAGGAAGTGGCTGAACTCACTACCTGCCAATGGACTGAGACGCTGGCTGTGTGAACTTCAAAGCATCACACAACCTTCAACACCCACAGTAAGTCTCGCTAACTGCATTGTGTTCAACTGTTTCCCCCCTAAAAACCTGACAAAATGTATTCTTCCAGGCATCACTCATGAAATATAACAAGCAGGGTGGCTCACGTGTACAATCAGGTCACCTTTTTTTTTTAAACAAACCCACACAGTTACAGTTGTTGGGTGGGTGCTGTAATAAAAGGTGGGTCAATCTTAACTGGGACAACCAACCTGAATGAACAACCATTGATATCTCTAGTTTGTGGGTAACATTTTATTTTAACTCCCCTATTTAACATTAAATATTAAATCAATTATAATAGATGGTTTAAAGAACATTATAACACTAGTGTAGTTATAAGCATACGTAAGAAGAGATTTAAGTGTTTTTTATGAGTTCTGATATTGTTTGGGAATTTCCTATTTGTGTCTGTGACAAATGCTTTATAAGATACTGTTCATTATACAAGATTACTGATATGTTACATGTTGTTATCAAGCTTTCATTACCTGTTTGTGCACCAGTTAAAGATGCTTCATAAGAGGAGAAAATAAAAATTAGGTTTTTATTGCTGGATTCTCTTCAAACAACTTGCAATATGTAATATTAAAACATTATAGCAGTACTAGATTATAAAATAGGCAACAATGTTTATACCTTTACAGATACACTGCAGTCAGTTAAACAGAATCTCCAAGGCACTTACTGGGGTGCACAAACTATATAAATGCAACCTGTGTCACTGGCAGACAAACTAAACCACAGGTTATCAAGACAGTAAAAATCTGATTGTGCAGATTATGAGGTACAAAAAGTTCCTGTTGGTTAACAGTCAACTAGAGTAAAATGTGAACATCCCAACAGCAGCCTGCAGAAAGACTGATCTGACACTTGTAGCC